GAGGCTGAGGCAGGAGGTTCGCTGTGAGTTCAAGGCCAACCTGGGCCACAAAGTGAGTTTAAGGCCAGCCTGTACTGCATAGTGAGACCCTGTCTAAAAAAAAAAAAAAAAAAAAAAAAAAAAAAAAAAAAAGCAATACTGTATTCCCCTTTTTTCCAGTCATGATTGCCACTTTTGGAATTGAGATACTCACAGATGGACAGAAACTAACATTTAGGCACATTAAATGTGTAAAATGTGCCAAGCTGTAGTAAGGTGCCATACTGTACATTTTTCTCTGTGGTGGTCACATGTGGGATTTTCCCTCCTTTACAGATAAGCACGGAGTTAACTTATGAGAGTCTCACTCTCATGACTGTTAAGAGGAGAGGAAAGGACTCAAGATTTGAATCTTTAGCCCTCTGATTCAATGACTGTTTGCCTTCTATGACAGATATTTTATCTTAGATGTTAAATTATTAGGACAAAACAGTTACTGGAAGTGTTTTGCTCTGTTTTCAAGTAATATGGCTTAGTAATGTAATGTAGTGTAAATTTTTCTTGAGACATCATGTTGTAAATGTTGGCAACAGAACTTTAGTGTATGGTTTTAATTGTGATTAGAAAATAGTTTCTTGCTCTTTAAATCTCTTCTTGTGTCACAAACTGCTCTTTAGAATCATGTTAATACATGGCCACACCTTGTCAGGGTAAATGCACCACATCTGTGGTTCAGCAATTCCTTGTCACATTGCACATCCTCAAAGTATTTTCTTTGTTGGCTTTATAGGGTAGCTCTCATCCTCATGGTCTTCGTTAATTATGGAGGAGGAAGATACTGGTACTTCAAACATTCCAGCTGGAATGGTAAGATATTTCCCACAGTAGCATTGCTTACAGCTGCGAAGAGGAGATTTTCAGAAGCACTGCTTAAAGTTGGCAAGCTAGTTCACATACTTCTAGTTTGGTTTTCCATGTCTAGTTATGCTCAGGAAATGTCCCAGACCCAGAGACTGACTCAGAGTCTCAAGGGAGAGTTTGTGTGTGTTGCCAATCTATCTGAGTTGCACTGTCTATATCAGAATGTGGTGAAGTGCATTTTGGATTTGGAAATACTTGTAGAATCCTGTTTCTTATTATTATACTTACGTTGTTCTACAGGACTGACAGTGGCTGACCTTGTGTTCCCGTGGTGAGTTGGCAGTCTGCTATGAACCTTTTGATAAGTCATCTCTAGGTTTTTGTCTTTCAAATGATGCTTGAGTCCTTTTCTCAGACTAGCCATTTGTTTGGGACCACAAAATTGTGTTTGCTGTTATGAAATCCTTCCAAAGTTATGTTACTGGTTGTGTGTGTGTGTGTGTGTGTGTGTGTGTGTGTGTGTGTGTGTGTGTGTGTACTGGGGATTGAACCTAGGGCCTTCACACTGATTTACATCCCCAGCCCTTTTTTATTTTTTTATTTTGAGACAGGATTTCACTAAATCACTAATTGCCCCAACCGGATTTGAACTTGAAATCTTTCTGCTTTAGCCTCTCCCAGAATGGTATGATTATAGGTATGCATCACCATGGCTAGCTGTTGGGTAGTTCTAATATTTGACATTATGCTTATGCATGTGTGTATAAAGGACAAGTGATTTCTTTAAATGTGTGGGTGTGGTGCTGGGGATTAAACCCAGGGCCTTATGCATGCTAAGTATGTGCTCTGCCATTGAGGTATAGCCCCAGCCCAGAAATGATTGATTTTGTAACAAGCATATATTTGAACAGATATGGTATGCTACATTTTGAAATCCTGTAGAATATCATAAATTCTGAATATATGGTTAAATTCCACTACACCTGAAAATGTGTAAAATTATACTTCCTAAAAGAAATATTTTACATTGGTATTTATGATTACTCCTGAATATGTAACAGGCAATGATAGTAATACATTAAAATTTAATGTAGGAGTTAAGCAACCAAATTCTGTTTCTGTTTATCTGTGGATTCTTATTTTTGGTAAGGGGTACTTCCCGTATGATGTGCAATTTGTACCTTTGTTACAATGCTTTGAGCAACTCTGCTCCATCATTAAGACACAGTGCCTGGAGACTGTTTTATTTCTTTGATCCTTTGTGTTTTATCACTGACACGGGACTCAGTTTTTGTTTTTTGAAATGGATCTGGGTAGGGTAAGTTTTTCATGCCTGAAAACCTGAACATTATTCTTGTGCTTGTTTGTAATAATAGGGATTGAATTCAGGAATTATCTATTACTGTGTTACATCTACAGCTCTATTGTTATGGTTGTTATTATTATTTTGAAAGAGAATGTTGCTAAGTTACCCAGGCTGGCCTGCAGTTTGTGATCCTCCTGTCTCAGCCCTCTGAGTCGGTGAGATCATGGGTGTGAGCCTCTATGCCTATAATTATTTATGTATATTCTTTGTAAGGCTTCCTGTAGAGAAATTTCCTATTACTATAAGCTTTTTTTTTTCTCCCCAGTACTGGAGATTGAACCCAGGACCTTTGCACTGAGCTATAGTCCCAGCCTGCTACCCGCTTTAGTTTTCATTTTGAGGCATGTTCTCAATAAGTCAGTAAGTTGCTCAGGCTAGGCTCAAACTTGTGATCCTCCTGCTTCAGCCTATCAGAGTGCTGGAGTTACACATGTTCATCACCATTCCCCACTCACTAGAGCTTTTTATCTGATTGGAGTGTTCCTAGAATGGAAGCCAAGGCACCCCCAGGCATGCAGCAAGAGCAAACTCATCTCCACGACTATTAACCAAATAACTAGAAAAATTAGCAGTATGATTTTCTTTTAAAGAGACAATTTTGTATGGCAAAAGACAGGAACACATAGGCCAGGTGTGGTGGCACATGCCTGTAATTGCAGCACTTGGGGAGGCTGAGGCAGGATCATTTTGAGTTTGAGGCCAGCCTGGCCTACAAAGTGAGCTCAAGGCCAGCCTGAACTGTATAGGGAGATCCTGTCTTAGAAAGACAAAAAGAAAGAAAGAAGGAAACAAACAAACAAACAAACAAACACATGACTCCACCCAAATGGAGAGACAAAATAAAGCTTTTTCTTTCAGGAGCCAGTGTGAGTTTAGGAATGATTGAAATGCTTTGTTTTTCAGGCCATTGAGGGCATGCTAGGGAAAGTCCGGTTGTTTGTATTAGGCATCTTCATGATTTTTCTCTGACGGTTAATTGGAAGGATTGTGCTTGGAAATTCTATTTAATACTAAAACATTTTCCATCTAAGGCAGGTCTTGAAGATTGGCTGCCAGAACCCTCACAGCACAGCAGGCCACATTCCAGCCTCTCCCTCTGCCCTTGGCTGGATGTTAGTAGTTGGCCACTCTCTCTGCTAGTCTCCTATAAAATATTAATAATGCACAGATGAAGAATCAGAAATGAGGGGATGGATATAACCAAAATATACATGTTAAAACCCAAGTATTTTATAAAGTTAATAGGCACTGATAGTAAAAAGAAAAAATTAGAAATGGACACCTACTAACTGATTTTATTTTTAGGTTTGTGTTTATTATGGGATCTTCAATTTTTCTGTCAATGACTTCTGTGCTTCAACGGGGATGTTCAAAATTCAAATTACTGGGAAAAATTGTATGGAGGAGTTTCCTTTTAACCTGCATAGGAATTTTCATTGTGAACCCCAATTATTGCCTTGGTCCATGTAAGTATTTTTCTGCCCTTTGCTAGTATATATTCCGGTTGAACTCCAGAAAATGCGTGTTATAATTTATAGCACTGTCTGTTGATCCATCGCATTGCTAGAAATGGAACACAGGGTGTTGTGCATGCTAGCCAAGAACTCTATCACTACATGTAAGCTACATCCGCAGCTCCACATATTACCATCTGAACAAAATGTAATTCCTGCATCTCAGGTATCTGCAAAAAGAACTATTGTTAGAAAAGCATATATAATGCTTGCGTAACTTTGGGCATTATTCTTATTGTCATCTTGGACTTTTAGACCTAGGAGGAACCTCTGCGACTATTCAGATTCTTTTGTTGTGTGAAAGAAAAGTCTGAGATCATTTGAGATGAAAGGTTTTTTCTCTGGCATATGTATGTATGGAACAGGACAGAGCAGAGACAGACCAGCTCACCTTATTCTCAGGCCCTGCTTTCCGGCCCTTTTGTTTTCTTTTTTTGTCTGTATGGAGTAGTAGTTTTGAGAAATCTTTTGTTATCCTTTATATGCCAGATGGGCTGCTGGGAAGGACGATAGATTTGTCATTCTTGTGACAGTCTGTAATAGAACAGCACTCTCGGGAAGGATGTAAACTCCGTGTGCTGTAGCAGCATCAGTAAGAGTAGTCCCTAAGCTCAAGTGGGTCTCGTTAGGCAAACAGGACACAAGGGTTTCGGCAGTAGCCAATTCAAGCCCTCAGGCAGTAAGTACTTTTATTGGAAGATAGTGAACACTGGGAGGACAGAGAGGTCACTTGTGGTTGATGTTGTGTAAAAGTAAATTTGATGGACTGCCAAAAAGCGAGCCATGGCTCTGGGTAGGGTTCATTCCAGGGTTTGTACAGGCTTACAGTTTTCTAGTGATGCTGTTATGTCGCATGTAGGTCAGGGAGAGTCAGCGGCTTGTGTTGGGTCTGCAAGTTTCATTTGATTTGAAAGTTAAATCACTGTGCCTGATAGGAAAGGCCAGCAGATGAAAGTCAGGGCCAAGAGTCGTCCTTGCCTTATCCCTACCGCTGAGTAAGGCATGTTTATTCTCAGTCTCCCAGCTGGCCAGCTTTCTGGTTTGAGTTTGAGCCTTCTCCTGACCATCCTTCTCTTGAGTGGGGCTGGCCTGTTCTCTTAGAACTTCAGTTTGAGCCATGTCTCCTGATCATGTGTATTTCTGTCTCCAAGAATTTAAAAACACTTACTTAGATGTAATATAGGTATAGCTTCCCCTTTAGAAAAAAATAATGGTGTTTTGGGTTGAGATGAGACACGTTGGCCATGTCTTACCTAACCTGTGTCTTCTGCAGTGTCTTGGGATAAGGTACGAATTCCTGGTGTTCTGCAGCGGTTGGGAGTCACGTACTTTGTGGTTGCTGTGTTGGAGCTTCTGTTCGCTAAACCCATACATGAAAATTGTGTCTCGGTAAGAAATCATAAATATGTGGTTAAAAAGGAGGAAGGTGTGTGATAAATTCACTTATAAAGTTTTTAGAACTTTTTCATTCTGAGTAGAATACTGCCAGCTAATCAACTGCATTTTTTAAAAAATATTTTTATTAAATCTTTGTGTGTATGTGGTTCTGAGGATTTATACCAGGGCCTCGCATATGCTTGTCAGGTGTTTTACCACTGAGATATACCCTCAGGTCAGTAGTTGCTTTTTAACTACTATTTTATTGTAATACATCCTAGAGCATGTAGACAGAAAACCTATTAAATAATTTTTTGTATTACTACTAAACAGTCAAGAAAATAATCCTTGGGAATTTCCAAAATGCATACTGTAATTTAGTCTCCTTGTGTTTGCATTTGCAAGTACATATTTGCATACTTAGTGTTTTCTACCCCGCCCCTCACTCAGGACAGAAGGTTCTCTTACCTTCGAGACATCACCTGCAGCTGGTGCCAGTGGCTCTTCATTCTGCTGCTGGAAAGCATTTGGCTGGGCTTGACATTCTTATTACCAGTTCCTGGATGCCCTACGTAAGTGAACCCTTGCCAGATAATCCCCTTTTGCATGTCATTTTCTTCCAAATCAGAGGTTCTGAGTTCAGAGCTTTAAAATTTCTCAGGTCAGGTGATTCTTATTTGACTCCTTTTTCTCCTTTGAGGTATGCTTTACAGTGGGAGATATTACAGTTGATATTGTGTTGAATTTGAGGTGAATTTGAGGGTGAATTTGAGTTGCAATCTGTTGGGCCTACTGCTTTACCGTTGTTGGAAGTAGGTGAGTCAAGTGTTGATGAGGGTGCATGGAGCCAGAGGGATGTTTTAGACTTGTTCCTATTTGAGGCTCTCTGAATGAGGCTGCATAAAATCTGCTATACCTTACTCTCCCTTCTAAAGTCTCATTATTTAAATATGTTTCACTTCCTAGTGGATACCTGGGCCCTGGTGGTATTGGAGACTTGGGGAAATATGTAAACTGTACTGGAGGAGCTGCGGGTTACATTGACCACCTGCTCCTAGGAAGTGACCACTTGTACCAGCATCCTTCTTCTACGGTATGTGAGACTGGCTTTTACATGGGACTAGGGGTTCAGAAGCTCTGAAATGGGGGAAAACAGAATGAGTTGGCCTGCTTTAAATTATGTCCCTTTAGTAAAATGTGATAGGAATTAATTTTTATTGAAAAGTTGCTAACTTAATGACTTCATCATGTGGCAGTAGATGAGCATTATTTTAGACAATAAAGTAAGAATGAACTGTATAAAATGAGTAGCATTTAGTACTTTCCTGTATATCTCAGGTCAGATTTATAGGCAGTGGCCTCTGAAACAGAGATTCATGTGCAGGAGTGTGTCAGAGTCTTTGCTGGATCAGTCCCTGTTGGGGAAGGAAGGAAGCAGAACTAAGCAAAGGGAGAAGTTGAACTGCACTGCAGTCCCAGCCTAGGGGAAGCTGGGTGGCACCTCAGAGCTCTATGCACTTGGGTGAAGGACTGAGCCCCTTATGTTTCTTGTAGGATGTGGACTGCCCCGGCAGTGGGTGACACCTGCAGAGCTTCAGAGGCAGCTCTCTTTTTTCTTTGCAGTACTGGGGGTTGGAACCCGGGGCCTGACACATACTAAGCCAGCACTCTACCACTCAGCTACAACCTCACCCAGCAGTGTCTTTAGTTAGGACAATCCCGAAGCAGAACTCAACTGGCAGCTTTTAGCAGTTACTTTTTCTAGTAGCTGGACAGTGAAGGCGTCAGTCCTGAAAGGTGGGAGGGCCTGGGGGTGTGCTGTACAGCTACATGTACATTTCCAAATTTCTTACTTTTTTTTTTTTGGTTTTTCTCTGGTACCGGGAACCGAACTCACGACCTTGCGCTTGCCAGGCAGGCGCTTTTGCCGCTGAGCTAAATCCCCAGCCCCACATTTCCAAATTTCTACATGGTCAGCATTTATTTTATGGTGAAAAACACAGGTTTATTTTACTTTATTATTTTACTGTATTGTGTAGATACTGTGGATTAAACCCAGGGCCTTGTGCATGCTACACATCTACTCTACCCAAGTGTATTTTTAAATGTTATTTGCCTTAAGAGGTGATAGGAAGCGGTCATTGCCATAGTAGGTTTGAACAAAAAGGAGTAATGCTGAAACTTATGAAGATCTCATGCATTGTATATGAAACTGTTCAAGTGAGGGGCTGGCACGGTTTACTGAGCCAGCTGTAGTTGAAGGGGCCATTGTCCCTGGCTTATCCCTGGGGCTGTGCATGTCCTGGGCACACCACGTACTTGCATGCCCAGGAAGTATCCCTGTAAGTAAGAGATGAACTTCCGCAGCAAAAGCAAAATCAAACAAAATACAAAATGTTGAATCCTGGGGTGCAGCGCTCAGGTTTGTATTTAGACTGAGAGATTTCATGTTCATTTCCATGGTCAGTGAGTAGAGGCTGCCTTCTTGTTCTGTTTTGTGAAGGTGCTGTATCACACCACGGTTGCCTTTGATCCAGAAGGAATCTTGGGGACCATCAACTCCATTGTGATGGCATTTTTAGGAGTTCAGGTATTTGCTCATATCAGTAGTACACATTTTTTCTGACAGTGTATGATGACTGTTTCATTACTATTTCAAAAACTGTTTCATTAAAATAGAAATATACCCTCTTCCATGCTACAGGTCTAATAAATTCTGTTCAGGTTCAACAGATTGTGCAAAATCAGAAGTTCCTAAAACTCAGCACAAATAGGTATAATTCTTATATTTAAAAAAAAAATTTCTTAAGTTATGTGGCTTATGTTAGCCAACCAATTTTGGGTAGAAGATTTCCTTTGCTGATGTGTGCAGAGTGTTCAGACATTAGGGACACTAAGAAGTTACCTTGTCATTTGTACCATTTATTCTTTGTATACTTGTCTTAGCATGTTTTTGATGCTATAAAAAATTACCACAGACTATATAACTTTTAAAGAGCAGGGATGTATTTTTTGCAGTTCTTGAGGCTGGGAAGTCCAAGATCAGGGTATTGGCAGGTTTAGGGTCTGGTGAGGGTCTGGCCCCTGCTTCCAAGATGGTGCCTTGAAGTGAGCATCTTGTGGAGAAGACTAACACTGTGTCCTATCCTAGCGGAAGGTGCAAGGGCAGAGCCTGGACTTGCTGTATCAAGCCCTTTTATAAGGGTGTAAAATGCATTCAGGAGGGCAATGCCATCAGAAATGCGCATTGTAGCCAGCACTGTATACGGTTTCAGAGTGTTCATGTTTTCTTTCAAGGTCAATACAGGTTTTTCTTGGTCTCCCTCAAATGCACTTTTGTTAAAAAAGCCTGTATGTTTCTTTCTAAAATTTTCCTTACTGATATTTGAAACTGTTTAAGGGAAGTGAAGCGGGAGGGGAAAACTTTGTAAAGCTGTCCTCTGGGTGATGAGAATGCGCTTCACGTATGCTGTCTGCTGGTGTGGCCACTGGCCAGGTGGCCATGGAGTACTTGAATGTGGCGAGTATGGCTGAGGAAATGAATTTTTTAGCTTACTTAATTTTAACTAATTCAGCTTTAAATTTAAAGTGGCTCCCATATTGAATAGTGCAGATAGCATATACATTTTGGTGATTAAATAATTTTGTAGTTAAAGATTACTACACTATCACTGTAGCACTATCTAGTTCATACTGTGTTTTTTAAACAAGTTTTTTGAGTCTTTTAGCTCTCTATGTAAATCCCTGCCAGCTGAGGCAGCTCATCCAGTGTGGAGGTTGAGTATGGCCCAGAGCCGCAGTGGGGTACAGTCCAGCTCTGGTCTCAGGCAATTACAGTGGTGCCTTGGTTTATGAACTTAATTTGTTTTATGATTTTAAGGAAGATGACTGCACTTGTGTTTGTGTGGGGAAAATGAACATGGTCATGCTTGTCACCCAGTGTGGGGTTTGTGAACAGAAGCAAAATTTCGCCAAATGCTGTTTGTGATCCAGATTGTTTGTAAACAGAAGTGTTTGTGAATCGAGGCACTGTATTATTATACCTCACTTTACTGAGTCACACCAGCACCTGCTTTATAGGGGTATTGTGCGGGTGAAACAAGTTAATTCCTATAAAGTTCTAAGAACTGCCACATAGAAAACATTCATAAATTTTAGCTATTATAAATCATTAATACTTTTATCTGTTGATGTTTTCAAATATTAATTCCTAATAGCAGAGGGATTTCATGCAAAGTACTAATGGGGTTTTTTTTTTTTTTTTTTTTTTTTTTTTTTTTTTTTTTTTTTGGTTTTTCTCCGGTACCGGGAACCGAACTCACGACCTTGCGCTTGCACTAATGGGGTTTTTAAAATGTCTCTCTGCCTATAGTTCCATTCTGTCCCTGCCCTTGGCGTAGTTGCTAGGGATGCGGCTCAGCGGCTAGCAAGCACAAGGCCCTGAGTTCGATTCCCAGTGTAAAAAAACCAACAGAACAAACAAAAAAACCTCTTCTTGAGTAGTGCTGCCAGACTGGGGGTTTAGCAGGCCAGGCTAAGCAGGTTCCTTGGCACTTCTGGAGCATACTTTCCTTGACTCCCCATTGCTTATGAAGGAAAGAAGCACCGCCTCACCCCCACCCTGCTGTCAGCCTGCTGTCTGCCCCTGTGTTTGCCCTCCCTGCCCTCCAGCCTTCTGCAGCCTTTCAGAGATGCTGTTGAGCTTCTTTAGTTTTTATTTTTTGGTATTAGAAATTGAACTCAGGACCTTGGGCTTGTCAGGCAGGCATTGTGCCTCTGAGCTGTTTCCCTGGCCCGCTGTGGGGCTTCTTTACACCTCTCCACATTGCTCTGTGCCTGCTGTTCCCTCTGCTTCCACCATCGTGTGCTTGTGGCTCCCCCTCCAGGGCTCCCATCTGATGCTGCCCTCCTTCCCCAGGAAGCACCTTGTCTCCTCTCAGTCTGCCCTGAGGGTGGGGAAGGGGTGAGGTGGCATTCTTCCTGGCAGTCCTGCAATCTGGATGTGTGCTTGGTGAAAGAATGTTTGTGGAATGATTAAGACAATGGATGACTATGAAACAAGCATATGTCTTCAGTGATTCCCTTGGTCATAATGTTTTCTTCTTCAGGCAGGGAAAATACTGTTGTATTACAAGGGTCAGACCAAAGGCATCCTCATTAGATTCACCGCCTGGTGTTGTGTTCTTGTAAGTAACCTATGTTTCTGACCAAGATGGCTTTTCTTCATACACATCTATATTTAAAAAGAAGGAAAGTGTTTAGTAACGCTACTATAGCATCTGTTACTATGTAGTGATCAGGAACATTTTTCTCTTCATTAACAGGGGAGCAAATCTTTTATTCTTCTTATTTTTTATTTTTTTGGTGGTAGGGATTGAACCCGACACCTCATGCATGCTAAACACTTATATTGTACCAATGAGTTACACCTTCACCTCAAGATGGAACAAATCTTTACACCTACATTCTCAGATTTACTTTCTTAGAATGCTGTGTTTGTGAATAAGATAGTGTTGTCATCAAACAATGGCCTGAGGAATGCTTAAAAAAACTGTGAGTTATAGATTGTGCATGGGGAGCCTGATCAGGAAGACTAGGCAAGTAGTAACACTTTAAATACCAACTTTCTGATTATATATAAAAATTTTTTTTGTTTGACTCAGTGTTCATTTTATCCTTAACTTTGCAGTTACGTTTCCTCTTAGGATCTGCCGTAATTTATTAATTAGTTTACCTTCTTCAGCTCAGAGCAATACTGAAAAGACATTTTTGGAGAACAAGTTTTTAATTAGGCCTCTTAAAATATGTTTCCAGTTAAAAGGATAAAGTATAAGCCACATTTTTCAGCCCCTTTTAAGCAGATACTTTGTTCTGAAACACAATTACTTTTTGAAATTATAATAGAAAACTAACATCCTTCCCCTCCCTATTGCAGGGACTTATTTCTATTGCTTTGACAAAAGTGTCTGAAAATGAAGGCTTTATTCCAATAAACAAAAATCTCTGGTAAGTATAGACGTGTCATTTAACATTGGTGATTTTTTGAGTTGAAATTGAACGTGCTGGTCCCGAGCATCACTCATTCAACTCTTCACAGGTCCATTTCCTATGTCACCACACTGAGTGCTTTTGCCTTCTTCATCCTGCTGGCACTGTACTTGGTTATCGATGTGAGGGGACTGTGGACAGGAGCCCCATTCTTTTACCCAGGTGAGTCATCTCTAACCGCATACAGAATTGGTGGCAGTCACCAGGTAGAATGGCCCAGAAGCCTGCTGACCTTCCACCATTGCTCTGGTGGCCTGGTTCCCAGGGACTGCAGGAGGAGAAGGCAGCAGGGTTGTTCTCCCAGGTCCCCAGGACATCCCTGGCCTGTTCCAAAGCAGTCCACTCCATTTTCACCCATTTAGGCTCTGGAGTGCTTGCATGACTATTAATAACCCACTTATTTCTTTAGGCAATATCGAATTGTTGAGTATCAGAAATGATGCAGGGCATGTTGTCAGTTTTTAATACTTGGAAATGGGACTATGCTTTCTTTCTCATTGCCAGTGTATTACCTGAAAGATTGTACCTCAGAAGAAATGCAAAGCGATGATATTAACAGATAAGTGGAATGGATCGGATGTATTTTAAAGGACTGAGAAAGCCCAGATCATGTCAATGACCACTTTATTTAGCTCTTTGAATCTAGTAATAGTTAACATTCTTTGAATCTCAAGTTTTCTGTCTAAAAAATAATGAGTGAAACTTGTAATTTTCCTTTCAGATTTGATACTGAAAAATTCACTGTTGGGCTAGAGGTGCAGCTCAGTTGTACAGCATGTGCTCAGCATGTGTAGTGTCCTGGGCTCAGTCTTCAGCACCACAAACGAGCAAAGAAACAGAATTCATTGATATAAATGACTGTTTTCTAAAAATTTAAAAATACTGTTTGCCTTTAAATAGCTGAGATATGTGTGTATTGCTTATTTTTGCTGGTAGTCAGTAATGCATGGTTTTTGCTTTTTCATTAAACTCATTTCAGGAATTATATTGATGATCTGATAGGACTCAGGAAAAACATATTCTGTATCTCTTTTTAAGGAATGAACTCTATTCTGGTGTATGTTGGCCACGAGGTATTTGAGAATTACTTCCCCTTTCAATGGAAGCTGGAGGATAACCAGTCACACAAAGAACATTTAACTCAGAATATAGTTGCCACTGCTCTCTGGGTGCTCATTGCCTATGTTCTCTATAAAAAGAAGATTTTTTGGAAAATCTGATAGCTACCACTGCAGTATGTTGCTGGAAGAATCTACTGGATCTGAAGTATTGAAACAGCCTTTATTAAATAGGGAATCATCAGTGACAAAACTAGTAGTTTGTGTGTTTTCAGATTATTGTGAAAAATGCCGAACTAAAATTGGCTGTCTGGAATGCCTGACATGACTTATAGGCTTTTCCCTTTGTATTTGTGACTTACATATTTGGAAACTTTGTCTTTTCTCTGTCTTCTACAGAAATGGATGTATTTGGAGCTGCATTCTAAGGAAATTGTACCCTTCCCCCCAACAGGGTCTTGCTATGTAGTTCAGGCTGACCTTGCACTCATAATGTAGCCCAAATTGGCCTTGAACTCTTGATGATCCCTTCTGCTTCAGCCTCCCAAGTGCTGGGATTACAGGTGTGCATCATCACACCTATGGTGTGAACCATCAGTCTGATCTAAGTTTCTCTGGAATATAATTTTAGAAATACGTCTAACCATTGATCTATCTCAAATATTTCTCAGTGAACTATTTCAAATATTTCTCCATGCTAGTGCTGTCCTTCGTACTTTGTTATATTTTGTTCGCTATAAATATAAGTCTTTAAATTTTTATATAATGTGCTAACTTGGCCTGTGTTCTGTATTGTTTTCATTAGTTAAAAATATATTTTCCCTTTTTTAGTTGTAGTTGTTTTAGTTAGTAGGTTACATTTTTTAAATTACATTTATAGATAAATATAATGCTCATATTCATTACAGGGGCTTTGTACCTGTATATGACATATCTTGATTCTTCTTTTTCCCCCAGTCCCCTCCCTCCCTTCAGCTCCTCTTCCACTTCTTACTTACCTTTGTTTCCATTTTACCCTTTTTTTTTTCAATTTTTTTTCTCTTTGTTTCACCCTAGCCTTTCCCTAGTTTCTTTTTCCTTTTGAACAATTTCTTCCTGTCTTACAGTATCTATTGTACATTTTCATCTTTGTTTACTCTTTCAGTTTCTCACACCACTCTACAGTTATATAACAAAATCTAACATCTACCAGGAACTTGTATGCAATGAGTTTCCTCTTGGTAGATTGATTTTGTCCTGATTGCATGGTATTTAAGAGGGGAAAAAACAGAGATGAATGAGGAGAGATAAAATAGGAGCCAGGTTGTAAGGCTGAGGGTGATCACCCAAGTTTTGGGAAACTGCAAAAGAGTACAGGAAAGAAAGAATGAAAAAGGCAGCAAAAGAATATGAAGTGAACCAGAAAGAGAAGAGACAGTGCTCATTCACATGAACGTGTCCTAAAATTGAGAAAGATCGTTGAGAGAAGAGCAAAAGAAGACAGTAGAAGAAAGCAAACATGAAGGTAAGATGCCAGCTGCTGGCTCCGGGGCTCCCTGGGAAACTGTCCTGCCACTGCTGTGCCACTCTTGCTGGCACAGCTGCTGCCACTGGCCACTGGGTTGTTCCCACTGCTGCTTACCCAGTGGACCAGTTTAATGTTTTGAGAAAACCAAAGTACTTTTCAGAGTTGCAAAGCTTGACAGGCCCCCACAACTATCTACCAGCGCCATTTTTTTCTTTCCCTATTTGAAAAAAAAGGTGAACTATAGATACATTATTCCCTACTACTCTTGCTTATGGTTATCTACCTCCCTACCCACTTTCCTGTTTACCTATCCATCTATCATGTGACTTTTTATCTACCCTCTCTACCTCTGTCCATCCTCTTGTCTGTCTACCTATGTGTGGCTGGGATACACTAAGGATATAGTTGAGGAGGAAAGGTGAGCACACTACACCCACTGTGGGCTCACCTATAATAGTCCTGCAGTTTGAGATGCTGGGCAAAGTCCCTTGGCCTATCTGGGCCCTAGTTTCCTCTGAAATGAGGAGGTACATGAACTCTCAGTCCCCTTTCAACTCTTTACTGTGATGAGGTAGAGTGCATCAGGAACTTTTCTGAAATCTTCAAAGAAGCAATCTTATTACAGAAAACTCAAATCAAAACTTTAAAAAATTCTGAATAAATCTTTTTAAAATGACCTTCCACAATAGGGGCACCTTTACTTGTATTAATTACAAAACTGGAGAAATAGGTTCATAGGAGTGAAGGTCAGAGAGCACATAAAGAGAGAACACTTACAATGCATATCGTAGGCATGTTCTGTGAGCATGGCATGTGTTTGGGAGAGTGTGATGTTGAGGTTGTACTTTAGATCACTCTTCATGGGAGATGGGGCCATCTTAGCCTGCTCTGTTGCTTCGAGGATTGCCACTGCATGGACATTCTAGTCTGTGCTTCCAGCTCTGGCCTCTGCCCTGGCTCCCTCCACCTGGGTGTCAGAGCCTGTGTCAAACCTCCTTTTTCCATAGATGCAAAGCTTTGCTTCTTCTTACCTTTATCACCCTGTTTTTAAGGTGTAAAACTGCTGCCATATTTTCATCCTCTTTTATGGCTGTGTCTGAATTTCCCTCCAAAGCGTCATGTGCTCATAGTGAGGCTTTTTAGAGCTGGCTGGATCTAGTGTGTGTGATACTGGGAATAAATGTGTGTGGTAACTAAATTAGTCCACTGATTGGAATTAGCACATTTCGGGGAATGGCTGAATGGATTTACTGAAGACAGAAGCCTCACTCTGAGTGTGGATGGCACCACCCAAAAGTCTTGTAGTCTGATGGGATAAGAGGGAAAGGCAAGCTACTTGCTTGCTGCTTTGCTGCCTCCTCCCTGCCCTGCCATGGACTGTTTCTCCTCTGTGATGCCCCTCTGCCTAACCTCCCTGCCTTGGAACTGGCTGACTGTGGACTGAAACCTCTACAAACTGTGAATTGAAATAAACTTTTCCTCTTTTAACTTGTGGGTGTTGGATATTTTGTCCCAGCAATAAGAAAAGTAACTAAGATACCCACCTTACCTCCACTCTGTGTCCTCTTTTCATATTTAGTCACTCCCAGATCCTCTCAGTCCTACCTTCATCTTCCACTTGTAACTGTTCCATTCTCATTGTCATGGCCTCTAATCTAGACTCTTGTCATCATTGTTAAACTGGCCTCATTCCATTTATTTCTTCATGTATAAAATCACCTGTATCCATTGCCACCAGATTTAGCTTTATAAGACAGTTTGAATCAAATTTAAATTTTAAATTTTAAATCAAATTTCTTTTAAAAAGAAAGAAAGCTTCCATTGAAATGGGAGTATCTGGCTGACACCATAGCCATCTTCCATTGATTACTGATGTATCGTTTCAGCACCCCACCCCCACCCCTACTCCTTTTACCCACTGTAGCTATTCCAGTCTAGCTATACTCCTCTTTCCTGCTCCTTCTCCTCCTCATCTTTCCAGAGTACCTTTTCCTTATAGTTTCTTCTGTCTGTATTTGATAGGTCGTTTTAAACACCATACTTCTAAAGCACTTTCTTCAATCTCTTTTCTCATTCAAAAGTAATTTTTTCTTCTGGTTGTCATATATTGGTATCTGTCCCTTGGCATTTATTGCTCTCTGCCTTGTGTGATAGTTATTTTTGTATATGTCAAATTTTCCATGCTAGACTGTGAATATCTTAAGGGCCAGAACTTGCTCCTCTGCATCTTCTTTATGGTGCCAAACTCACTGTTGTCGAGGTAGCAGGTGTTAAACAAACATTTACTGAAACAGAGCAATATGGGGGTTTTCTCTTTTTAAAATAAATATAAGTGCTGATAAGCATCTGTCTGGAGAGAGCTGTGAAAGTGTGCATGGTGCTGTAAATGGGGATAGTTATCTTGGGGTAGACCCAACACTCCCCTCTTCTTGCAATGCAGCATTACGGTTGGTCATAACAACATTCTCCCAATTTTTAACAGTTAAATCTGAGCAAGACTACTTTATATGAATTACCTAGAAGCACTTCTCAACCTGAGTGTTGAATAAATTATAGGATGTCTTGAGCCATAAGGAACAGGAAATCGGAATTTAGCTGATTGATGAGGAAAACTCATCCCACTGATGAGGTCTCAAGGGAGCAGCTGCTGCCACAATTCTAAGTGTGACACAGCACACAGTGTAAGGAGAGGGCCTTTCCCGAGTCCTGTGGTTGATCACCAGAAGATTTCCCAAAAACCTGGCAGCAGCTTCAGAGACAGACAGCACAGGTGACCAAGCCATAGGTGGGATACTACTGGGACACAGCACAGTTGGCTTCTTTGGGCGAGGGGGAGCTGTGTTTTGGGGATGAGATGAGTGACAGATCCAGGAGGGGTTGTGGAGAGGACAGTGCGGTGGCTGTAGCAAACACTACATTTTACAGGGAGGCAGAGTGGTGTGGCGTTTTAAAATAATAAAACAAAAAATAATACTCTACACAACAAAGATGTAAACTTTCACCTTTTTAAAATCTTTTTTTATACTTGCAATCCTAATTTCTATTTATAATTAAGTGAAACTGCAGTGCTCGTAAGATGTATCTTGTCATGTTGGCCATTAAGGACATCTTTTATAAATGCATCATAACCCATTTGTGTCAGAAATCAGTTTGTATGAAATTTCAATGTACTACCACTTTTTCCTATAAAGTACAGTGGTGCCTCATTTTACAAACAATTTACAACTTGGGGGAAGATGGCTGCTTTTGTGTTTGTGTGGAGAAGATAGCTGTAGTCATGTATGTCACCCAATGAAGAGTGCAAAGAGAAGCAAAATTTTGCTGATTGCCTTTGTTGGCAAACCAATTGTGAACTGAGGTGTTACTGTAATTCTGTTTTCCAAATAAACAGGGAGACAAATAGACTAATAAAATTTCTCAACATACCAGATTTCCTTTCAGAAGAAGATCTTTGAATCAGTTGTAAAAAATTGGGGGTAGAAGCCAGGCATCATAGTACATGCCTTAATCCCAGCTACTTGGGATACTAAGGAAAGAGGAGCCCAGCTGGGTAAAATATCTTACACCCTGTCTCCAGATAAAACAACTCAAAACCCACAACAAACAAAACCACAGGTAAATCTTTAAAGATGCTAAGCGGTACACCCAGGATTTGTTAATAAAGTCTAACCCATGAAATCAGAAGCACTACTCTCTGCAAGAAATTCAACTCAGCACTGAGGCCATCACTGCCAAACACAGGAAAGGAGAGGACAAGGACCTTTGCAGGTCCTAGAGATGTCTGGAGACACCGAAGAATTTAACGGACACTTCAAAGGACAAAGGACTCTGCCTACTGAGATGGAAGATTGCCAGAAAACTTTAACCACAGATGTTCATTGGGATCTTCCCGCCTAATGTCCCCCTGCCGTCTCTCCATTTCTATAAAAGAGACACTTCTCTTTGTTTGGGGCAGGCAGTCTCACACTCTGCCTGAACCTAGGGACAATAAATTCCAGGCCATGTTGCCTTTCTACAAGCCTGGTGGTCTCTGCTCGTTATTTATGTTACATTGACCTTACTGTGTAGTAGCACTCTACAAGTTTTTGCTCCTACCTAACCAACTTAGTATCTATTTCTTTTTTTTTTTTTTTTCCAGTACCGGGAATCAAACTCACGACCTTGCGCTTGCCAGGCAGGCGCTGTGCCGCTGAGCTGAATTCCTAGCCCCCAACTTAGTATCTATTGGTTAGCCTTTTCCCGCCTTCTTCCCTCCTGCTCCCTTCTC